CAAGGTACTTCTGTTTTCGAAGCTCGAAGAAAATTTTCATGGAATATCTATTATCATCAACTTTTGTAAACCCTGAAAGATACTTCTCCACTTCATCCCATTCTCCATTTGTCACCATTTCCTCGAAATATCTCAAATTGAAGAAAAACCCTGACTCTTGTTCCAATCTATTAAAATATTAATCAACAAATACACAACATATATATGCATCGACACATTAATAAATTCAATTTGAAGTCAGGAAAAAGAATTTCAGTTATTAAAGAATACTTGTGAACAGTGTTTTTAAATTTCTCCTCCTCAAGGAATTGAAGTATAAGGAACACAAGTTCTCTGCTAAGCGAGGACATGATTGTAATTCTGTAAAGAGAAATCAACGAGACAATTAAAACACAAAGAGATCTGGGCTTCTCAGAATCAATTATACTTCAAAAAAAATAACCCCAAAAAACCCTAAACAAATTACAGTCCCACATCATAAAACTCAACAACTCGATAATATTATCCAAAACAAAAATAAAAAGCTACAAGAAAGCTACAGAAACGAAAATGAAAAATTACCCGATTAAGTGTACAGATCGGGATAAATTTTTGGAGAAATCGAAGAGAACGGCAGGTCACTGCTTTCTCTTTTTCTTCGTTTTTTTTAAGAGCTCTCTCTCTCTCTCTCTCCCCCCTTCTTCTTCGTTGCTGTTTCTGGTGAAGTATTTATACAGAGGAAGAAATAGGTTCGGATTTGAACGATAAAAGGAAAAATGAAAAGGAAAATAGCAAACAAACAAACAAAAATTAATTAAATAAATTACTTTAAATGTGCCAACATCAGACAAATTAATTAAATACCGTGAACGACACGATATGAGATGAGAATTTGATCTATTGATATGAATGATAAGTTGACTAGGTCGGATTGATAGAAAATTCTACCTAAAACTTTAAATTCCTATTAAATTTGAATTTATCCGAAAAATATGAGATATTATTACAATTATTTTTAAATATATAAGATAAAATTATATTTTTTGGGACGAATATTTTTCACCTTAAACCTAAACTCAACCAGATCCAAAAATAACTTTAAAAAACCCGACCCGGTCCGATCTGAACTTTATTTTTTTTAAATCGACCAAATCGAGTCGGGTCGAGTCAAAATCCGTCAGGTTCAGGTCTCATGTTCATCCCTATGCATAATAATTATTATTATTAACAATTTAGGATGATCATAATTGATATTATTTATCGTAAAGACTTTTAATTATTTAACAATTAATGTTTAAATTTTACGGGCGTTGATTCCCGAATCTGAAACTTCTAGAGATAATAATTATCTCTTAACCACTAAAATCGTTTGGTTGTTGTATAATTATTAAATTTAAATTATATCATCAATTGATTCTTAAGTAATATTTTCACGTTATTACTATATATATTATAATGTTTTTAATTTATCAACAATCAGTTGGTTTATTGGGATGAGACCCTAAATCACTTAAATAAGATCATATATTTGAATCGTTATATTTATTAATAGAGTAAATTAAGTTGGAAGGATTACTCTTACCTCTGAAGTACCCGATTTGAATTAGTAGATCAATAGATCAGATACACGTAATTATACTAAAAAATAATTCTTTTAATTTAGTTTTAATTTTATTAATATTTTCAAACTTAATAATACTCCGTATGTTATTAATCTTTTGAAACTTAATGAAAACTGTCCCAATAAACAATTATTTAATTATAAAATTATTTATTTTTAATTTTATGCGTTTTTTCAATTGTTGAGATAAAATTCATATTTGTAAGCACATATATATAATCTGCAATGTTATTATAAAGTATGACACAAAATTAAATAACTAATTATGTTATACGTGTTATATGTATCAAAGTGTATGTAATCAAAATGTAGATATCATAAGTTGTATTTATATTTTGATGAGGGATAAAATTATAAATACTTAAAAGATTGACTTAATATTCAATCTTTATAAAGACTAAAGAGGTAATGATCCCCAATAAATATATTAACTTGTACTACTCTTATCCCTATGAGAGTTTTACAGCAAAAATAAACATATTTTCTTGGAAGATCACAACGAAAGAAAGGCTCAAAGATTTTAAATCATCAATTAATTCGGATGCGGTTTCGTAAATCTAATTTTTTATTCTTAATCATTTATTAATTTTTCGTGTTTATTATGATTTGCTGATTTATTACGAGTTACATTGGTCAACTTTCTTTTTCACGTGCCTTGAAATTTTAGATTTATATAATAAATTGTAATTAATTATTTTTTATCAAATAAAATATGATTTTTAATTGCTAAAATATATGCTGATTTTTGGTATTAAATGTTTGCTCTAAAAAAATTATCCAAATAAGACATGCATGCAACTCACATGACGAGCGAGTACGTAGAACTCTTACCACACTAGAGCGCGTGAAGGACAATGAGAGAACTTTCGAGGGACACACGAATAGAATGGCAGAAAAATAGTAAAAAATGGAATGTTTTTTTCCTCTCAAAGTTTTAAATTAAGTGAGATATATATCGCGAGATGAGAGATTTTAAATTTTGTCCGATACATATTTTTTCCTCTTTCTCTTCAAAATCTCACCAATTTCTCTTGATGAACAAAAAAACAAAAACAAGCGCACGTCAATTCATTGTGACGCACAATTTTTTTTCTAAGAAAGTGATTTTTCTTATGGGTAAATTATATATTTAGGCATCCATGTATTCTCTAGTTTTTGTTTTGGTCACTTAATTGTATTTTTTTAAAAAGTTATATATGATAGTATGTTTCATTTTTGTTTTAGTCCCTCGTCGTTAGGTTTGTTCATTGACTTAATGAAAATAGTGATGTGATATAATATAACAATAGTTTTAGTCTTACAAAACTTACTCTTTTTTATCTTTTTTACCTATGGTTTCTAGGGTTTTGATTTTAGTTCTTAATAAAAGTTTAAGGTTTCAAGGAATTTTAGGCATGAATATTTAAGGTTTTAATTTGGGATTTTAAATCGATTTCAGGATTTTGATTGGTGGCTACACGATATAGGGGCTTGGGTTCAGTCAGAGGAGGTGTGCATGTTTAGTCGAGTTGTGGCGTACAATGAGGGGTTGTTGGGGTTCAAGTTGTTTGAAGGTACCGTGATTTAAAACCCTGATTGAGATAGCTTCGGCAATGGCATCATATGCCATCGACATTCTAATTTGATTGAGCACCGTATTCTAATGTCTTTCGAATTGCACATTCTTTTGTTTTGTTGCATTGCTAGCATGTTTTGTGTAATGGTAAAATATTATGTAATTTAGAACGTAGAACATAGTTCAGTTGGTTTATGCTATCATTTTTATGAGTTGGTATAGAGAAAGCTTCGAGCTTGAATCCTGACACCTGCAATCTTTCCTTTTTATCGTTTAAAACCGGTAGGTTAGCTCAGTTGGCTCACAAAACACAACCACTGGTAGAGTGATATGAGACCAAGATAACAATCAATTCAACTCGTATAACACAACGATGGGTGGAAGTGAACCTCCGAAGCGACGCTACAGATCTCCTAGTACACCTTTTATCCCATTTGATCAGGATCGATGCCGGCATGAAATTGCCAGAATGATCATCATGCATGAGTACCCTCTTCACATGGTTGAGCATCCTGGTTTCTTAGCTTTTGTTCAAAATCTTCAGCCTCGGTTCGATAAAATGAGTTTCAACACCGTTCAAGGGGATTGTGTGGCAACTTACCTGAGGGAAAAGCAAAGCCTCATGAAGTTTATTGAGGGTGTTCCTGGACGATTTTGTCTTACACTGGACATGTGGAGTTCAAATCAAACGCTTGGTGATGTGTTTATTACCGGACACTTCGTTGATATGGAGTGGAAGCTGCACAGGCGGGTTTTCAATGTCATAATGGAACCGTATCCGGATTCCCATTCTGCTCTAAGTCATGCCGTTACTGCTTGCCTTTCAGACTGGAGTTTGGAAGGCAAGTTATTTTCCCTCACCTTCGATCATCCACTAAGTGAAGCCGGGCGGGAAAATCTTAGACCTTTACTGTGCGTTACGAATGCCCTTATTCTTAATGGTCAGCTGCTAATTGGAAATTGTATAGCTCATACTATAAGCAGCATGGCAAAGGTTGTTCTTGGAGCCGGGCAAGGGATCATCAAGTAAATCCGTGATAGCGTAAAGTACGTGAAGATGTCAGAATCCCACAAGGAAAAATTCGTTCAAGTAAAAACACAGCTTCAGGTGCCCAGTGAAAAGAGCCTGTTTCTTGATGATCAAACTCGGTGGAACACAACATACCAAATGCTTGCAGCTGCTTCTGAATTGAAGGAACTATTCGATTGCCTGGATACTTATGATCCAGATTTTAAGCTAGCCCCATCAATGGAAGACTGGAAGCTGGCTGAGACTTTATGCAGATTCATGAAATCTCTCTTCGATGCAGCCAGCATCCTTACAGCTACAACTCAACCTACTGCAATCACATTCTTTCATGAAGTGTGGAGGATACACACGGACTTGTGTCGTTCTATCACGAGTGAGGATCCCTTTATCAGCAACCTTGCGAAATCAATGCATGAAAAGATATATTTTAATTTATTTTTTTATTTTTTATTAAAAATATATTTTTATTTATCTGAAGTTTTATAAAACTAAATTCATCCTAAAATTTTATAATCTCAAGTCGGTCGCAAATAAAATCTTATGTACGTGCATCAATTAAGCGGTTCTTCTTTCTTCTCTCAAACGAAAGGGCAGTCAGGTCTTTCCATGGTATTCCACACGCTTAAACAGCTATCAACTCCAACTACTTCAACAACATACAGCCATCTCTCTGTCACTTTCAGCTCTGCTGTTTCTTGTGAAGTTCTTTCCTTTTCGATCCTTTTTTAGGGTTTTAGATGTTTTTGCTCTCTGGGTTTGTTTCATTTTATGATTCAGTGAATTGGGTCGTTGCAATTATTTTGACTGATTATGGTTTCTGGGTTTTGAAGGGTTTGAATTTCTCTGTTAGTACTGTTCCAACCATGTTTTTTGTTGTTTTCTTCACACACACACACACACATACACATTGAGAATGGCTGCCTCGGTGTTTAGCCTACTTCTCTTTGTGCAATCATCAAGACTTTTTGCCTCCGGGATCGAAGGGAAATCGACGATATGCGGGGCTGATCGCATAGCATACTCGAATTCGGACAGCCATGAAGTGTTTTGTTTGAACGACAATCTAGTAGATAGGGTTTTGTTCTGTAAGGTCCTGCAGTTGCACTATGAAGATCACTGTGTGTTGGAAGGCTATACCGGCGCTGACTGTGGTTTTGACGTTTCCTTAGGTGACACGCTTCGTTTGAAGTTTCTAATATTTAGCTATGAAATTAATCAAATAGTATGAGTAAATTTCTTAGCTTTTGGCAGCTGATTTATCGACCGGAAGAGGACGGAAGTTATTGCACGAGCCAAAGAAAGATGAGATACCCGACAATAACCTGGAAGGGAGCAATAATCGAAAACTTTCGGTCTCGACTAAAGTAGGGATGGCAGCAGCTGCTGGAGTACTTCTAACCTGTGTTTTCATCTGCCACCGTCTTTACAGGAAAAAGAAAGCAGCTGACCAAACTGTTCTTTCCGAGGAAGTAAATACAAGTGAGCGTTACATTACCTTGGCTGTATAATGTGTTCATCCTGTTTTGGTTTCAAGTTATGAATGCACGGTTCCGTTTTCGCAGTTGATTCAGCTGGCCCTTCCGAAACGAGTGTTCGTTCCCTTCCTGAGAAGGTTCCGGCCAGCCCACTTAGGGTACCACCTAGTCCTTCAAGATTCTCGACGCCTCAGTCTCCTCAACTCAACAGACTTCCGGCCAGCCCACTTAGGGTACCACCTAGTCCTTCAAGATTCTCGATGTCTCAGTCTCCTCAACTCAACAGACTTCCGGCCAGCCCACTTAGGGTACCACCTAGTCCTTCAAGATTCTCGACGTCTCAGTCTCCTCAACTCAACAGACTTCCGGCCAGCCCACTTAGGGTACCACCTAGTCCTTCAAGATTCTCGACGTCTGAGTCTCCTCAACTCAACAGACTTGGGTCAGTGCATCTCAGTATGACACAGGTGACCAGAGCTACCCATAATTTCTCACCTGCACTAAAGATAGGCGAAGGAGGGTTCGGAACTGTTTACAAGGCCCAGCTTGATTCTGGCCAGGTGGTTGCGATTAAACGAGCAAAAAAGGTAAGTAAATCTGCTCATGTTGATCTTTTTCCGGCAACTTTTGCCCCAATGTTAAGAGTATCTTTGAAGCTTGTTTCCTGTTTTGTTGTCTAGGAACATTTTGAGAATCTGCAAACAAAATTCAGCAGTGAAGTTGAACTTCTATCCAAGATCGATCATAGGAACCTTGTGAAGCTACTCGGTTACATCGATCAAGGAAAGGAACGGCTTATCATTACGGAGTATGCACCAAATGGTACTCTAAGAGATCATTTGGATGGTAAATTCCCTTCCCAATGTAACTACCCAAATTTCCGGTAGACAATATTGATGAAGGCTTAAAAATATATATTTTGCTGGTAATCCTGGCAGGTCAGAATGGAAAAATCCTTGATTTCAATCAGCGTCTTGAAATTGCCATTGATGTTGCTCATGGCCTTACGTATCTCCATCTCTATGCAGGTAAACACACTGGTCTACAGTTTTTTTTTCTTCAAGACTATGCCTTCTCATAATGAGTTTTATCATGAACCAGAGAAGCAAATTATTCATCGGGATGTGAAGTCATCCAACATTCTTCTGACAGAAAGCATGAGAGCAAAAGTGGCTGATTTTGGGTTCGCAAGAGTTGGCCCGATGGACTCGGATCGAACTCATATTTCAACCAAAGTGAAAGGAACAGTTGGTTACCTTGATCCTGAGTACATGAGAACCTATCAACTCACAACCAAAAGTGATGTGTACTCTTTTGGGGTTTTACTTGTGGAAATTCTGACCGGCCGCCGTCCCGTGGAGCTTAGGAGACCGGTTGAAGAGCGTGTGACGCCTAGATGGGTAAGCTTTCCCTTTTTTCTCTTGTTTGTGATTGTTTCGGTAGGAGCACATGGAGTAGACATATTAGAGTCTAGCTAGTCCCAAGTTCACTGGTTTTTCTCATGTTTACGAAATAAGATTCTCATGCAAGGTAGTGAAGTTGGGTACTTGGGGTTTAAGTCACCCAAGGCCTAAGATATTCTGTCTTCAAAAACAATAACTCGGTGTTTGCACCTCGGAATTCATGGTTTTGGTGTCCAAACAGGCATTCCAGAAGTATAATGAAGGACAAGTAGTGGAGCTGGTGGATCCAAAGGTGGAAGAAGTTGTAGATGCAGTAATATTAAGGAAGATATTTGCCTTGGCATTTCAATGCGCAGCACCCATTAGAAATGACCGTCCGGAGATGAAATCCGTGGGAGAACAGTTATGGGTGATTAGAGCCGACTACGTTAAAACTTCGAGGCTAGGGTGAAACACAACATAATCCATCCTTTGGATTTAATCACTCTTGTATTATGTTATTGTTACATTTGGAAAAACCTTTAACCTCGATCAGGGAAATAAGTATTATACCGTGCTAGCAGTAATTACTACTTTATTAATGCTTGCATGCAAGAGACTAAATCAAAGAGTCGATAAAATTTTGACATACCTCGAATTCTACAGTAAGGGCAAAATACAGATTGCAGTAGTTCGTTCAATGTGATTCCCCCGCCGGATCTGAGTAGTCTTCGCCAATCACAAATGGAGGGAATCATCCTACAACTTAGTGCAGTTTGATTATAAGAGTACAAGACCATTTACAGTTCTAGTTTCAAGGGTAAGCCCCATACACAACGACCGAACATGATCGCCGCCGCCACCTATAATATTTTCAATAAACGGGGCAATTGAAGCCTCAATCTTTTCCACCTACTCCTTACCAACAATGGATGCAAACCGAATATGTGTTCCGGCATGAAATCGTGCCTTGTTAATATGCCCACCACAGGTGCTCTCTGCAGCCACATCAGCCATTTGAATAATGCAATTAGTAACAAGGGTTAAAATGATATCTAAAATGAAAACAGACGACATACAGAAAGGAAAGAAACTGATGGGGAAAAGAAGGATTGGAAGTTATGGTTGGATTAACTAGCACGGCCAAAGAAGTCCATGAAACTTTGAAATCCGAATGCAGAAACATGAAGAATCAGACAAAGAATGACGAAAAAAGTTTAAGGCAAATGCATATGATTGACAATGTTTCTTACGTTGGAGATCTTGGGTATGACGAGTAGGTGCCGCAGACCAACTTCACGGAAAAGCACGAGGGCCTTAGCTAGTGACATTGTCTCCACAACTGTATATGGTGAAGCGTTGGTAAAAGGGTGTAGATCCAGGAACATCTCCATCTCCTCATCAGTTAATTCAATGTCTTCTATCTTGTCAACGTTACCTAATCCCCTCTTTGCAAAATCATCTGCCGAAAAATGCTTAAAGGCATCACTGACACCTAACCGCATAGGGGTGGACAAGAATGCTTTCTTCTTTAGCAATGCAATAAGATGAGAACGGAGTATAGAACCATATAAAACCGAGGATTCAGAATCTGGAGATGTATCTATAACAGGGAACCCATGATGCCTTGTGGTTTTAAGGATGTGTACTATATTTCCGACCTTCTCGATTCCATGAAACAGCTGAAGTGGGCCAGAGACAACATCGGCAACAGTCAGCTGCCTCATATAAGGTTCAGCATGAGTTTCCAGGTAAGGAAAACCTTTTACTTTCATAATAAGGTCGTAAATGCTGCAGTTAAAAGCATCAGCTACAGTCTTGGAAATAAGGAGAACAATCATTATCAGCGGCAACAATAATAGGTTATTGGTCAATTCCAGAATTATAACACACAAGGAGACAGTCATCCTCATAGATCCACCAAGAAATGAAGCCGCGCCAAGCACTGCATAGAGACTGTGACTAAGATTTGTATGAGAACCAAGTAACATTCCAATGAAGCGCCCATAAGATGCACCAGTTACTATCACAGGTACAAATAGACCTGCCGGAGCAACAATCCCGTAGCTTAAAATACTAAGAATGAAGCAGGTGACGAAAAATATGAGCATAGATGAGAGCTGAAACTCAGAGTCAGTATCCTTGCTCAAAAGATTTCTGATCGCATCATCATTTGTGTTGAAAATGAGACTTGCAAGATCATTGTAGTGACCATGAGGGCATTGAAATCTCTTATAGTTACCGGATCGACCTATCGTGGGACAGGCTTCAGCTGCATCCAAGGGGCATGGTTGGCAAGATGCAAGCCATGGTAATCCAAAAAGCAGAACCGATGTGAAAATTGAGATTGTGCATGCAATAAAAATTTGATAAATAATGCCTTTCCTGAGATGAGAAAAAAGAGGGGTAATAAGCAAGGAGAAAAACCGGGTAAACTATATTATGCCAGACTCTGAAAATGGTAATTGGTGCAAACAACACAAATCTGAAAAATAGAACTTACTCGTAAATGAAATTGTAAACTCGGAGAACCCTGATTAAAAGGAAATTATACAAACTTCCTAATATGCCGCCAATTACTCCAAGAACAAGAACAGGAGGAACATCAGCTAGGTGATATGAAATATTTGCTGAATAGGCGTCGAACATTATCAAACCCCCTTTACCAAATAGCCCACATTTTCCACTAAAACAAACATCAATTAGGGCTCGAAGTATAATTGCAACTACAGCAGTTGTAAAGAAAGATCTCCAAAGAAGGGCACTTCTCCACCTGTAGAACAAAACCAGATAATATCTTAAGATGCCAACTTTTGGCTGTTTAGTCTTGTCAAAAGGACACCATGAACACCCTGTCCATGATGAGTAAAAGGCAGGCTGAACGAAGCTATTGCCTAATACAAATCTGTTTTTCGTTAAACAATAAAAAGAGAGAAAATGAGACGAACGTGAAACCGTAAAAGATATCAACTAAGAGCCCTATGCAGTAAACCCAGTACACTGATGAAAGGATGGTTAATAATATATCAAAATGGTGCTCCAAATGGATGTATCAATTCACGTACCAAGATGCCATTTCTTCAAGAGCAAACAGAACGCCTCCAACTGGGGCACTGAAAGCAGCAGCAATTCCAGCTGCCGATCCACATGTTACAAGATCTCGTCGGTCTCTGTCATTCTTAAAGAAACGAAGCCACTTCCATGTCAAACCATATTTTCTCGATCCACCCTGTCCAAACAATGATGCAATGCCTGAACCTATATGCACCATAGGCCCTGCCTTCCCAACCACCAGAGATGAAGACACTGCAGAAATGCTTCCCACAATCTGCACATTTAACACAATTATCAATCTCTACACTATGGAAGAAATGGAAAAGAAATATGAGTGGCTGTTCCTCCTTAATTCACAAAAAAGTAGGGGGATCATTCCCAATATAAATGTTGAACTCTGAAAGCACAGAAACCTATAATTCGATAACTAGATAGGTATCAACTCGATTTACTAGAATCAACAAACACAAACGTATTATAAAAATTTAGGGAAAAAGAGCTCTTCACTCTGCATCAAGCTCAACATCACAAAGGATCTTCTATACAGTAACAATTCATCGTTTGTAATTAAATTTTAAAAAAGATTAAGCAAATAACTACCTTAACCACTAAAGTTCGTGGTGAAAATATATCCGGAGCATCGACACCGTTCAAGTAAGCCTTCACTTCCGGTATACCTGAACCGGCAGCCGCTGGAGAAATAAAAGCAGTTATGATGGCGGCAAAGAGAGTTAGGACCAGATTTGATACAGAAAACACTGTAAATGCCATCCCGTACCTGCACATATAAATAAAGTAAAGGTTTATTTCAAAATTATTAGTATTTTTTAAAAGCGGGACAATAGTGGAGTATGTAAGAATTTCTAGCTGATAAAGTAGTTCGAATATTTGGCGCAAATTAGTTCGAATATATGAAATTCAACAGTTATTCAAAAAAAAAATTTGAATGAAGTGACCTTCCATCCAACATCATGTTTGAAGTGACGACGAATTTAACGCCGGCGATATTCTCAACGGCGAGATTATTGAAGAAACCAACGAGACTGACGAAACCGCCGATCAAGAAACAGAGGAGCCATTTCATGAAAATATATTGAAATTTCTGGATCTTGCCACGCGTCCTCCAGTCCTGTTTGAAGAAATCATTCTCCGCAATCCTTTAAACAAGAGAGCAACACCGAACCGATTTATATAAAAAAATTCAGCTGAAAAAGAAAAGAAAAATTATGTAAAATAAAAAGAGAGAGAAGTTTACTCGTAGTCAAGGCTTTCTATAGGGCAGACGTTGGCGCCAACGATGGCGACCTGAGAGGTGGAATTAATGGATCGTTGCTGGTGAGAGAGCAAAGAAACGGTGAGTGACTCATAGTCTTGGCTTTGGGTTTGGATTTGGTACGGTGGTGCATTCTCTGACATGGTCTCAAACGGCGCGGGGTTTTGGGGTTGCCGGTGGAGCTTCGGCGGAGACGTGGACCGGTACAGATCGACAGAGGAGTAAGAGGAGTCGAAGATAGAAGATAGAAGATAGAAGATAGAAGAATGAAGAATATCTGTTTATGAATTATTAAAATAAAGAATTGAAACATCTGGGGCCCAGCAGACTGTGGTGGACAAATGGCCAGGCACCTATGCCTGTTAATACAGACTGGAATTCAGCTGCTACTTCTCTATCCTTGTCAGCTTTCACTACAAAACAGATTCAGGTATCTCTAGACCCAGCAAATCACACGGCAGTGGCCGTGAATGGTGGCGGCGCTTCTAGCAACGATTAGACTAACGGTGGCCGGTGGGTTCTTTTAGATAATGCCGTACCATCCTGTACTAAATGATAGTATTATACATTTTTAAAATTATTTTATTTAAAATATTTTATTAAAATAATCAATAATAATATTTATATTTTTATGTTTATATGTTTTAATTTTTTATTCATATTAAAATAAATTTATCAATTATCTTTCAAAGATAATTCTATTAATTTTTTCAGTTAAATATATCTCCTAAAATTATATATATAATCAATATAAGACATAAATTATAGGACAAAGGAAGTGTAAGAAATGTTAGATTGTTGTTCTTTCAATAAGAATATAAACATGGATAGAGCTATTTATATAAAAAAAATTAAGGATTTAATAAATATATAAATTAAATATTAAATAAAAATTAGTTGACCCTTATTCCCATATGTAATGAGATAAGAGGAGGTAAGATAATAGGCTACCCCCAATTGATAGCAGTTTCCATAAGAGACCTCCGAATTATGAAATGCCATTCGTGTGACTCGATCATACGACCCCAAGATTAAAAACCTTGTGCTCTACCAACTAAATTGGATGATCATTTAAATATTAAATATATTATTTAATTAATATTTAAATTAAAAAATATAAATATTATACTAAATATATATATAAGACATCATACTCAAAGATGATAATAAGTTGGGTTAAGTTAATTCTTTTTATTGATTTGAATCTAAGTTGAGAATTATACTCTTAACACTAAATTTGATTTGGGTCTAAAAAAGTTTTGCTGACTCGAAATTCTATCTGAATTTTAAGATAAAAATCTGATTCAATTCGATCTAATTTGAGTATAAAAATATCTTATTTTTATTTAATTATTTCTAATCGAGACCAATTATTTAAAATTTTAATCTCTTTTCATGACCACTTGATAAAAAGGTTGATCTTTATAATTATATGAGTTCTAGTTTAAAAATTTTAATAAAAAAAAGTATTAAGTGAAAGAGAAATAATAGAATAAGGAGACATTTGTTTGATATCATCGATGATAAAGAAAGGGATGTGAAAAGAGATCAACCAGAACACGTCTGTGTGGTTGCTAGTGCCAAAGGGATAGATCAGAAAATGGTAGGGTTTAGATGATTAGGGTAATAATAGGTGGCGAATTTAGAAAATTTTTTAAAGGTAGACATAAATTTTAGGGTGGATACTCTGAATAAAATAGATAAAATAACTTCAGTGACCAAAAATGTCTTATAATATACGATTTTAATCAATTTTTTTGGATTTGTCAAAATGACCAACTAAATCGCAATGCAATCGATAATTCGCAACACGATCTCCGGTATCGCAATTTCTAAATTCACAACGTGAACTTCGACTATCGCATTGCGATTTACATATTCGCATTGCGATAGTCCAAGTTCGCGTTGCGATTTATTCCAAATTCGTTGCGATTGATTTATTCCAAGTTCGCGTTGCGATTTATTCCAAATTCGTTGCGATAGTCCAAAATCGCAACGACGGTATTGTATTTGTTTCTTAAGAATTTTATCTAACAAGATAATATTCGCGCGAACGTGTCGAAGACACATATTACCACGACCACGACCACGAGACGGCGGCGGCGGCGGCGCGCGAGAGTCCCCCTTGTTCTCTATCACTCAACAAGGAAGTGAAAAAGCCAAGCCTTAAATACCATTCCCAATAGTGTTTCTAATACTATGTGGGATTGAGCATTACCAACACTTGTTCCCAATATTATGTGGGATTGAGCCTTAAATAGTGATATTATTTTTGAATGTTTTTCTTAAAATTGCAATAATCGCGATTGATTGTAGATTGACATTTAATTATGACATATTTAATCGTATAATACTAATGCAATTGGTTGCTGATTCAGTTGTTTTAAGGTGCATGATTGTTAATTGTTTCCTGAATAATCACATTGTATTGGAAACAAGTGTTGGTAATGCTCAATCCCACATAGTATTGGAAACACTATTGGGAATGGTATTTAAGGCTTGGCTTTCCCACTTCCTTGTTGAGTGATAGAGAACAAGGGGGACTCTCGCGCGCCGCCGCCGTCCGTCTCAGGTCGTGGCCGTGGTCGTGGTAATACGTGTCTTCGACACGTCCGCACGAATACTATCTTTTTAGAGAAAATTCTTAAGAAACGAATGCAATACAACCAGTCGTTGTGATTTACATATTCGCATTGCGATAATCCAAGTTCGCATTGCGATAGTCGACTATCGCATTGCGATTTATATATTCGCATTGCGATAGCCGACTATCGCATTGCGATTTACATATTCGCATTGCGATAGTCCAAGTTCGTATTGCGATAGTCCAAGTTCGTATTGTGAATCTGGAAACTTATTTGCGATACCGGAGATCGCATTGCGAATTATCGATCGCATTGCGATTTAGTTGGTCATTTTGGCAAATCCAAAAAAAATTGGTTAAAATCGTATATTATAAGGCATTTTTGGTCACTGAGGTTATTTTCATAAACCACTAATATAAGGATATTTAGATTTTAGGGTAGATGCCAAATCCTACATCTGCCATTAGGGATTAGTATAAGTCGGGTTGGGTTTTTGGTCCACTTGACCTGAGAACAAGAAGTCTTCCGCCCGAGAGCCGACCCGACCCGACCAAAACAAGTTTTCACACGACCCGAACCCAACCCGATATATAACTTAAAAACTCAACCCGACCCGAAATAATAAAAAATTATTTTTATTCAATAAAAATAATGACTTAATTAAAAAATAATATATATAGGGATATTATTGTAATTATTCTTAAATATATAAGGTAAAATTATATATTTTTTTCGGATCGAGTATTTTCACCCTAAACTGACCCGACCCGAACATCACATTTAAAAAAAATCGACCGATCTGATTTTTTTTAAAGAATCCGACCCGATCGAATCGGGTCGAGTCTCATGCCCATCCCTATCCGCCACCAATAATAGTGACACTACTTATTAATATGGATTAGGGTTGCTAAGTACTATAGCTCAAAAAGTACTTTATTTTGACTCCATTAAATTTATTTCAGTCACTATTATTATCAAAATACGTAGAATTAAAAGAGTAAAGTACATAAATGATCTCTTAAATATATAATATTGTTTTGTTAATTTTTTTATTATTAAAAATTATAACATGACCTTCTGATTATAGGACGTCGTTTTGTTTAGTCTATTAACTATTAAAAGTTATAAAAATGATCGTTTAACTATTTATATGTTTCAAACTCGTCATTTTTCGTTAAAATTGATGATAGCCTAAGTTGGACGTTAACATATTGATTGGGATATGATAGTTATTTGATATCATATTTTAACATATCACATACATCATGTTAACGCCAAACTCATAATACCGTTATTTTTTTAACATAAAATGACGAGTTTAAAATATTTAAATAGTCGAATGGTCGTTTTATAACTTTTAATAGTCATGTGACTCAACAAAGCAATGCACTATAGTCAAGAGATCGTTTTGTAACTTTTAATAATCGGAAAACTTAACAAAGTAATATCTTATTGTCATGAGACCATTTGTGTACTTTACTCAAATTAAAAATATATTTTTTAATTACTTGATATTGATGATTCATAAAAAAATTATTGGAGTATCACTATTCCATTCACCGTTATAATTTAAGATAAACTACACGTTCAATATTTTAATTATTATTTTTTGTTCTGTTTTAATCATTCAATTATTTTTAAATCATATTTATTGTTACGTTTTGATTTAATTTAAATTACTTGATATTAAAAAAACTAATAGAAATACCGATTTGATATTTTTAAATAAAAATAAAAATAATATAATATTAATTTATATTGACACGTTAACATCACCGCTAATTCATATACTAAAAAGTGTAGTTTATCCTCCAAACTGCTAACGGTATATGGATGGTTATCATAAGCTGTTGGATTCAGCCTCAACAAGCCCAATATGCAACATGTTGCATGCCCAATATATTTATAGTCTTTGAAGTCTCTAAAATAATATAAGTATCTAAATATTATTATTTTTATTTAATATTTTTTTATTAAAATAGGTGCCAAATGTTATGTTTTGTTTTATTTTTAAGTTGGACTTTAAAAATTATTATCCTCTATAAATGATTTCTTTAAATTCTATAATTTTTTATTTAAATAGACAATTATAAATAAATGTAAATTATTTTGAAATGAGATTCTGATTTTAAAGTGAAATATATGAATTTACATGACCAAAATATTTGTAATTATTTTTTTTGAAACTTATTATTTTTATTTTCTCAAAAACATGAAAATGAAGAGAGAGAACTTGAATTTGAGACTAATTTAATTAAAATAATATCTTAACCGTTTTTATTAAATCGCATGAATTTTATTTAAAGAAATAACGTGCGTAATACGTGTTAGTATACATATTTACACGAACACATATTGATCAAATGATAAAGTGATATATATATATATTGTATTCAATCATTTAATAAGTACATGTTTATAAATTATATTTAAACACTTTAAGAAATTTATATATCGTTAAAAATATATAAACTTGTATTATTATTATTATTAGTTTTATGGGTAAGCTACCATTTAGTACTTAAACTATTAATTTTGGTTCATTTTAGTACCTAAACTTTTAATTTTTTCAAAATCATATTTAAAATTTAGTTTTTGTTTCATTTTAGTAAGATACCTTTAAAAACTTTAGTTTTTATTTCATTTTAGTACCAAGTTCAAAATTTAACGTTAAATTTTAAAAAATTGAAAGTTTAGGTATTAATATCAAACATATCCAAAATTGATAATTTAGGTACTAAGCGCATTAAGTTTTTAACGATAGATATTAAAATGAAACAAAAACTAAATTTTAGACATGATTTAAAAAACACTAAAAATTTAGTTACAAAAAACGAACTAAAACTGATAGTTTAGATAATAAATAAATAGTTTTCCTTAGTTTTATTTAGGGTAAAGTACATAAATAATCTGTAAACTTTTAGGGCATTTGCAATCTAATCACTCAACATTTGAAACTTGCAATACAATCATCGAGCTTTTAGTTCGTTTTCAATAAGGTATATGTCATTATCTCTCATTCATTTTTACTGACGTGACACTTAATTCCCATTAACGATATGACGTGACATCTTCTTCTTCTTCTTTCTTCCATTAAAGCAACTTCTTTCACTCTTTTACTTGTTTTCCATCTCTCCTTCCATTAACTCCTTTACCATCTCCATCAACACTTCTTATTTCATGAACCCTAACGCATATCTCAAGTAAAGGGCAAAGAGTAACTACTTTGAGCGTGTTTTTGAAGAAGTGAAAACTTGAGATAAGGGAAGAAACGATTTGGTTTGATTCAGTTTTTGAAGTGAAGTAAAAGAAAATGTGGGCTCTTATTAAAATGGTGGGTTACAGTGTTTTTTAATTTGTTATTTTACTTTTTGTAGAACTTAAACATCAGTGTTAAAAAGCATATAGATTATAAAATCAAGGTTCGTGAAATGAGAAGGGTTAATGAAGATGGTGAAAGAGCATATAGATTATAAAATCAAGGTTCGTGAAATGAGAAGGGTTTTTGAAGATGGTGAAAGAATTCATGGAAGAGAGATAGAAAAAACAAGCAAGTAAAAGAGTTAAATAAGTTGCTTTAATGGAAGAAGAAGAAAAATAAGAAGAAGCTATAACGTTAGAGAATTAACTAGAGTTAAGTGACATGTCAACAAAACTAACGGGAGGTAACGACAGGAATCTTATTGAAAACGAATTAAAAGATTCAAAAGTTGAGTGACTAAAATACAAACACCTTAAAAGTTCATAAACTATTTATATACTTTACCCTTTCATTTAACCAAGGTTGGATCTAACAGGATATTCCATTATAGGTCCAACAATTTCGACAAGCAACCCATAATATAACATTTTGCCCATGTCTGTCACCACTAATTTAAGCAACCCAAACTTTATTTTCACTCTCAAAATTATTTAATCTAATATTTATGAAAACTTTAAGACATGACTATTTGAATCTCAAATATTGAAAATTCCATTTCCTTTTTCATCATCATCTTCTTCCTCGCAGCTTCAACTAAAAACAATCCCATTTAAAACTTGGAAAAAAAAAGAAAATCCGTGTTTCAATGGCGTCTCTGACCCCAATTTCCCAATCCCATTCCTTTCTTAAAAGACCCAACCTTAAAACTCCTCCACCTCCCAATTTCTCTTCCAGTTTTATCATCAAGGATTTCCCATCTTCCAAGACTCCGTCTCTTAAACTTCCCATGAGGGTTTCTAGGAACGTCGTCGTATCGTCCACGACGGTGGAGAAGCCCAGGAAGAGGTACCCCGGAGAGGCTAAAGGTTTCGTGGAGGAGATTAGGTTAGTGGCCATGAAATTGCAAAGGAAGGAGAGAAGGAAGTAAAACAGCCTGAAGAACGTACCGTTAAGGTATGGGAGCCTTGTTGAAATTGTTTGGTGCAAGTTGCAGCAAAATTAATGCACCGAAAAAGTAGCTAGAAATTATTGATTTTTTAATAATGTTAAAATCTCACATTTAGTTATTATATTTTAGAGTATTTTTAAGATTAGTCTTTAAGTTTTAATTATAAATATCCTAGTTCTTTTAACTTCAAAACCATCCCAAAACATTATAGTTTTATTCTAATATTAGAGAATTTAGAGAGTTTCTTTAAAGTTGTTTTCTCATTTTTATCAAGAGAGAATTATCATTTTTTTCCCTTGGTATATCGAGAGAAATTGTAATTCTTATTTTCTCATAGTGAAATTCTTCTACCGTTGCCCATGATTTTTACCCTATATTATTTAGGGGGTTTCTATGTAAATTTATTTTGTGTCACTTTTATCTTCATTTTTATTTTTCTAAATTATCAGTTGTAATTTTACTTTGTTTGATAACCGTATTCCGCAACAATCCTACCGTTGATGGCTACTTTGTTTTCAGCTATACTTTTGGAAATTTGTAATTTATTTTAGAATCAAATCATCTTCGAGAAGATGGGTTTATTAAGGGAGAATAAGATTAGACTGAAGCTTGAAGTTTTTTATATGATGATATTTAGATGTTGTTATAGGATACCGTTGATGGGAACAATTTTTTGTCGTCCGTAGTTGGTGGTTCACCCTTGTAGTTGATTGGATTTTTTTTTGTCTCGTCGATCGTTGTCGGTTCATCCTTTTAGATTCCGGATTAAGCGAAGATCTATAGTAGGTGAGATGATGATCGTTGATCATTGTTTTTAGAAAGATAAAGGCATAAGGGACGGCGAAGGATTCAAATAGCCCTTCACTTGAAAACCGAAGCACTTTACCATTAACACAGATGATTGAATTGTAGCTGTTTAATCCTCGAAATGGATGCCTTTAAAAGTATCAGTGGTTTTTACTTTGTGTTAAACTCGGAGTTTCGTATGCTTTGTAAATTGTATTGCACCAACTAGTTCCTAGCTTTGCTCATATGTATAAGCTTTTATGTGCTTCTTGAGTGTGATGTTTAATGGTTTTACGATACTGCTAGAAAAAGTAAAGTGATAAGCCTGGTCTGGTCTGGTTCAGATGCTGAATTCAGAAACACTGGATTGGAAAGGTCGGAGAAGTTGGCGATGGATTTACAGTGGTTCAAAGAGCAAGGCTATGCCATTCCCGAACCATCTTCTCCCGGTGTTACATATTCCGAGTATCTTAAAGAATTATCCGAGAAGGATCCACAAGCATTCATATGCCATTTCTACAACATTTATTTTGCACACTCGGCTGGTGGCCGGATGATTGGGAAGAAGGTAAACACAATATTAGCTTCAAATGTGCCCATTTGGGTCAGTTCATGCATTTCACCAGCTTTTATCTAGCGGATATCCCATAGCCATAGCCATAATTGTAACATGTTGAATGCATACACTTGTAACATGTTAAACACAATATTAGCTTCAAATGTGTATCGAAAAGTAAATTTCTTGATCCTTATCTACACTTTCTAGAATTAAACTCATGTCGTTTTGCTTCGATCTATCCCTTTCAGTTACCCATTTGAGTTGCTTCATGCATTTCACCAGCTTCTATCTAGTGGATATCCCATAGCCATAGCCATAGCCATAGCCATAGCCATACTTGTAACATGTTGAATGCATACACTTCCCTCGATACCTCTGCTCCTAAAATGTCCTCACTTAGATAGGTATTAACTTGATTTACGAGATCGAGCACTCGAGCTCATTCAACCCCACTCTTTCTACCAGGTAGCTGAGAAGATACTTGACAACAAGGAGTTGGAATTTTACAAATGGGATGGTGACCTTTCCCAATTGTTACAAAACGTGAGGGACAAGCTGAACAAAGTAGCTGGGGTAATATTCATTGTATGATTGCAGAACTCTCTTGAAAACACCATCTCCATTCCGTTTCTTTACGACTAATACTGATTTCATGTTCTTCATCGTCGCTACCGAAGAGCTGGACTAGGGAGGAGAAGAACCATTGCTTGGAAGAAACCGAGAAATCGTTCAAATATTCAGGGGAGATTCTTAGATTGATACTGTCATAGGTATGCCAAGCATAACTGGCATAGTATGTTCGTGTTAATCGAATCTGGAATTGTTATGGGATTTCAAGTCAAATACTCAACACTGTGGACTGAACTTGTAAACATATTTATCAACTTTTACTCCCATTCCTTGATTTTTTTCTTCTTCTAATACTGTTCAGCTACTTGTAAAGTTCCTTTTATATTATATTATATTATATTATATTATATTATATTATATTATATTATATTATATTATATTATATTATATTATATATATTATATTATATATATTATATTATATTATATTATTATATTATATTATATTATATTATATTATATTATATTATATTATATTATATTATATTATATTATATTATATTATATTATATTATATTATATTATATTGATGAATACTGATTTAGGTTCAATATTTCATATGGACGAATGTTAGTTTAGGTATTATGAGGTGAAATTTTGTCATTAGTCACTGTACTATCCATAAATTATAAATTTAGTTTTTATTTTTCAATTGAGTTAATTGTGTCACATGTCCTCAAATTATGATCCTCATTCTATATTGGTCTATAAACTTTTGAACATTTTCATTTCATCCTTAAATTATGACTTCCATTCTAAATTAGTCTTCAAGCTTTTGAATGTTCTAATTTCATTCCTAAAACGTGACTCCAAATTTTTTAATCTTCCAATATCATTTCTAAATTCATTCAAATATGTAATTAGTTTTAGCCATAGTTTAGTTTAATCTTTTTCAAATATATAATAATATATCTTGGCTAACACATTAACCAGGTATGTGATTAGTATATATTGATAGTTTGGAATGAAATTGAAATATTCAAAACATTAAGGACCAGTTTTAAACGAGAGTTATAATTTGAAGATGAAATTGGAACATTCAAAAGTTTACGGATCAATTTAGAAAAGGTCACATATAGCATTATTACAATATTAAAATTATGAATCTTCTTATAGTTAACAAGAGCGCCTGTAGCTCAGTGGATAGAGCGTCTGTTTCCTAAGCAGAAGGTCGTAGGTTCGACCCCTATCTGGCGCGATTTCTTTTATTTTGTTGCTTTGTTCATATTTTTTCTGTCACACTGCATTTGGCGTTTTAGCATCTATATTTTTTTGGCTGACTAATTAATGTGGCTACATCAATGTGGAAAACTTGGTCCCCATCTTCTATTTCTACGAGTTTTAGGCCTCACAAATCACACGTGATTTTTTGATTGCATGAGCCAACTACCTTACTATGTTGGAAGCGTAGGTGGACACTCGAGTAATTTTTAACTCGAAATATTATTGATACGAGACAAAATATGTTACAACGATGTTACCCCAATATTATAATACTACATCACTAGTTGCGTCTAGTTTACAAATACAACCTATATATTCTAAGTTTTGCTAAGCTTCACCCTCTATCTCTAATAGCTTTGTTAAACTATCTCTCATTCTTTGCTTTTCTAAGTTTTTCCTCATATTCCTTCTCTCTTTAATAGCTTTGCTAAGCTATTAATCATTATGACTTTTCTAAGCCTTCATTTTTCTCTCTTTGCATTACATTTAAAGCTTATCTACACACATATTTATAGGTGTAGTAACCGACTTATTTTCAGCTCTGTGGATACTTCTCAATTTCTCTCTGCCTCCTTAATACTTGCTTGCCTTAATTAAATTTCATGCAATCTTGATTTTTTAAAGTCCATTCTTATTTGATAAGAATTGTTTGCTACTAACATTTGGTGTTGCCACGTTTTTTTACTTAATTATTAAGCATGCACTTTGCTTAATAATTAAGCATATTCTTTTAACAATTTTTTTTTTGACTTTTAATATTTAGAAATCAAGTTTGATTTCTAACACTCCCCCTCAAACTTGATTTTCCATTCTAAGCTTTTCTTTAAGTCGGTTGAATATATCTGCTATCAATGGTTTTGTGAAAATATCTGCTAATTGATCTTCAGTTCTGCAGTCAATTAGCTCCACAATTTTGTTTTTCGCATGCTCTCGTATAAAATGATACTTTGTATCGATATGCTTGCTTCGGCTATGGGAGACTAGATTCTTGGCAAGGGAAATTGTAGACTTGTTGTCGACATAAATTGTGATTGGTTCTTCTTGTGCCAAATTTAGCCCGCTCAAAATATTCCTTAACCACATTGCTTGGCAAGTGCACGCTGCTGCGGCTATATATTCTGCTTTGCTTTTTTGACACCTTGTAGAGATTTTTGCAAAATCTCTCATGCTTGTTTTACGGTCTTCGCATCAGAATTTTTTTTCAAAGGTAGATTCTTCTACTCCTTGAAAAATAAAGAACAACGCTCTTTTATCTTTTTTTGAGAATTCCTTTAATACCTTCTTTTCTTCATTGGTCAGGACTGCTTCTGCTACTGCATTTTCAAGCTCGGTGTAACCATTCTCGATGATATCCCAAAAATCTTGGGAGCCTAGTAACATCTTCATTTGAATGTTCCAGTTGTCATAATTTGTCTTTTTCAATCTCGGGATTTGTGGTTGAATCATGTTGGCCATCTTCTCCATCACGTTAAACTCGAACCAAGCTCTGATACCACTTGTTGGAAGCGTAGGTGGGCACTCGAGTAATTTTTAATTCGAACTATTATTGATACGAGGCAAAATACGTTATAACTACGTTACCCCAATATTACAATACTACAACACTAGCTGCGACTAGTTTACAAACACAACATCGCTATTCTAAGTTTTGCTAAGCTTCACCCTCTCTCTCTAATAGCTTTGTTAAGCTATCTCTCATTCTTTGCTTTTCTAAGCTTTTCCTCATATTCCTTCTCTCTTTAATAGTTTTGCTAAGCAATTAATCATTATGGCTTTTCTAAGCCTTCATTTTTCTCTCTTTACATTACATTTAAAGCTTATCTACACACATATTTATAGGTGTAGTAACCGACTTATTTTCAGCTATGTGGATGCTTCTCAATTTCTCTCTGCCGCCTTAATACTTGCTTGCCTTAATTAAATTCCATGCAATCTTGACTTTTCAAAGTCCATTCTTATTTGATAAGAATTGCTTGCTACTAACATTTGGTGTTGCCACGTTTTTTTCCTTAATTAAAGAAATTGTTATGAGATTCGGGGTAAATGTGATGCTGAGTAAAATTCATGGTTGAAGAATACTAGATCTCGAGTGCATGACCAATGTCAATTTCCTTGAAGCTAGTCTTCTTAATTCATCGAACTGAGGATTCTTGGGTGGAACAAAATGAAGTCATGCATGGCTAGGACCTTTTCTTTGGTTAAGCAAAGCAAAGCATTAGTTTGTTTATTTCGATGTTGTTGATTGTCTGGAGATTAGGACCTTTCTAAATATATGATCGAACCTGCATTCTGGTCTGTGAACAAGGCTGCGTTATAGTTGCACGAGTTTTGCACCGGTTTGCAAGCAATCTTTTAACGCCTCCCCTGTTCAGTGTTTGCTTCTTGACTATCGAAATAATTATCTCTTGATTGATCTTGTTCTTTAAAATAATGAATGCACAGCATGGTCTGCTGTTAATATGCTATTGTCTTCCCATCTTTCAAAGTTATATTCCGGAAAATTATTGATTGAAACAGATCTAGCTGGTGGATTAGCTTATACTGATAACCTATTATCAGCTGCACCTGTGGTCTACTTGGGGTTGCTTCTGTTGTTCCTGGTATCAATAACTAGAAATAGTTTACGTCATTGAGAAGAATCGAAATTGCCACCATCAGAAGAGCTTTAATCCTTTGATGAAATACAAAGCAGTTTATAAGATACCATTCTGATGAGATACACTAATCTCTGGCTTGTAGATCTATATCATTTTAGTTTCCATTTCGATATTTTAGCAGAAACCAGCTGACAGTTTGTTCTTGTAGACTACTCGAGTTAGATTTGTCTTCGATGACAAGTCACTGGTTAGTCCATTCTTGTATACTTCCTTCATTGTTGCGGATTTGGCGCTAGAATTCTCCACTTACGCATATGTGAACGGCGACGTTTGTGATTTTAGGAGGTGAAAGTAGGGGACCAGCTTCCGGATTCAGGTGAAAAATGTCTTTGTGGGTGGCAAAAACCGTTGGAAGTAAGACACCTTTCCAATTTCGATCCAAGTTCGAAAATGGTAAGCCACTTACCTATCTATTTTACCACAGGTACTCAACATTTGTGAATTGGGAACTTTGGTGGCCAAGTTTCCCCATTCTGGTGTATTTTAAGGAGACTCAGACAAAGCCTGAAGGACAGGTTCACTTTTTCCCAGTCATTTTTGTAAGTGTATCTTACTCATCTCTCTCGTGTCCGCGTATTTGGTTTTGACAAAACTCGAGAGACGAAAGAATACCTTTCTGTTACTCGAATATTATAAGCTGTAAATACATGTTAATACAATCCTTGATCTGTGATTATTTTTTCTTTGAATATATTCTTACAACTAGAACGGAAAACAACTCTACGACGACGTAATGGTAGAAAGAGCCTATCCTTCGAAAACTAGCGGTCCAAAATAATCGAGAAGATTTGGACTTATATGATGAGAGATTCCGAGATCAAACTTCAAAAGCATAAGGTTTGAGTTAGTCCCAATTCCAACAGGCAAATCTTGTAATGATTTTTACACTAATGTCTTAAACCTTGCTACTGCAGGTTAAAGCTTGCCATGCCTGTCATTTATTTGAAGCATCACGAAGTCTAGAATGCACCTGGTCTTCATCATCAGATCTATCATATACTAGTTCACAATTTGTACTGTATTCAACTATAAAAGAGAATGGTAACTGAAAGTGAGGCTCTCTCAGTACAACTCTATCATAAACATGAGGAAATGTGTACTTGGATAAACTGCATCCACTGTGGGCTGAGAGATGGCAAGCCAAAGAACAGATTTGCAGTTAGGTTGTCATCGACGGAAAATTTTGTGGTACTTGCATTAATTCTTGGTGCAGTGAGCATCTGTACCATGCAGGGTGCAATGAGTAAACCCAGACTACTTAAAGTCCCTTATCTC